CATAGATGATTAACAACTGAAGCATGTCGTGTAACTTATAAACATCATGTTCAACCATTACAAAGTCAAGAGTTTTGGGAGAAAAGTGAGCTAATTCTGCCACTACCACCAATTGTTAAGAGGAATGCAGGCATACCTAAGTAGGATGAAGTTACTCATTACTTAGAATTGGTAGGGACTTAATTGCATTAATAATAAATCAGTTAGGGACTAAATTGCATGATTTTTATTCTATTAAGGACTAAAATGAACTTCGTATTTTACTGCAGGGTTTGATTCCAGCTTTGCAAGAAGTAATGGCAGGTGCACACCATAGGTTTTGTGTATGGCATTTATGGCAAAATTTCTATAAGCAATGGAAGGATAAAGCCTTGAAGCACCTTGTATGGGAATGTGCAAGATCAATCACCATCTCACAATGCAAACATGTATACAATAAAGACAATGAATGAGAAGGCATGGGCATATTTATGGTTGTTGTGAACTTTTCTTTGGCGAGAACTTTTCAATGATTTATTTCCACTGAAGTGTTATGACTTAGAATGACTTTAAAAATCTATCTGTGTCAATATGCCATCTATCAAATGATAAAAGAGTTCAATGAAAAAAATAATATTTTTTTCTTCACTGCTCTCCTCTTTCCTTCCAAATCACATATATTTGATCCACTTATAATGCATATAACCTCCAAGTTACTGCTACTTGTCCAATTACAAATAGATATTTTCTAGCAAACATAAACCATTGCTATTACACATTCTGAGATGGCATATTTATTATTTTGCTATGTACAGAGTTATCACTTATCAGTACCTGATAGAACAGGCTAAAAAATTGCTCTGTTTCATTCTTCTTTTCATCAATTTTTCACTAAAATATAAACGAAATGAGGGTTAACAATGATTACAAAAGCATTCTTTATTAATATTAAAATAAAATTTTATCATTATCTTACAACAAAGTATATGACAATACACATCAACATACAAATAATTTGTACAAACAACTTTAATTTCTTAATTTCAGCCTCTAAATATGTTATTTTTGCAGCCAAATTCTTTATCCATTCTTCATTCACAGCTGCTGCACTTGTAAGAGGAGACATTACTTGAGAGGTTGGATAATTAGCAACATTATACCTATCCTCTATACTATTTTTGTTATCAGCCCATGCAAAATAATTGCAATGTTCACCAACCTACATCATGTGTAAGAAGTAATTTAATTTAATTTATCAGAAATGGCAATTGAACACAATGATAAATTAACTTTGTTTACCATATATTTGGGACATCCAAAGAACAATCTTTTAGTATTAGTTTCTATCTGTGAAATTCTAACAGCTGCTTTCAACCCACAATGACAAATCTTGCCATTTCATTTCTTATTTTGTTTTGATGATGACCTTGAAGCAGAACTCATCAGAGGGCTTATTGATAAGTATGTAATTAGGCCATCTTTTACAGCTCATATATTCATATTTAACGTTTATTTTATTTGAATTTTACACTAATTTATATATTAATTGTGCAGTTTGGTATAAAGAGGCCGTAAGTGGATTTTGGGTGTATTGTGGGCCTAAATTGATAGAAGATTAGAGCTTCGCAACAGTCAGCAGGCCCAAACCCATTCAATAAGCACGGGGTGCTTCGAGCTCATGCACGGTCGTGCTTAAGGCCTTGCACGACCGTGCTCATTTGTGGGAAGCCCAATTATGAATAGTTTTTAGGGTTTTCAAATCCTATAAAAGGGAAGATCTTATGCATCGTAAAAAAACCCTTTTTGATCTTGGCTTTGGCTCTAGAATATATTTTTTGATCTTGTCTCTCTTGCACGGGATCCTTAGCACATGCTTGGCGAGACTTGGAGCTTCAAGTGATCGTACTTAAAGATCAAGAACACATCTCACACTCTAGTTTGCTATTTCTTTTGATTATGGCTTTGTTTATGATTGTTTTAGTTCTTTTCTTTAGTATGAGTAACTAAGTCCATAGCTAGGGCTGTGGGAACTATTGTTCATGGATTTATGGAATTTTGATATTTGAATTTAAATTTGATTTTCGTTTTGTGATTAGATTTTATCCTATTGCGCTTCTTTTTTTAATCCTAATTAATTATATCGTTAGGAAACCGTACCTCAGTTAATTAATAGATCTATAGGGTAAAATGAGACAAAGGATTAGGTGGACCAAACCAATCTTTCTCTTCTAATCGTTATTAAATTAACAAATTCATAGGTTCCTTAAGCTTTCTTAAATTGATGTCTTGCATGACCATTGGGGATGTTAATTTAGAGAAAAGAATATTAATATTGCATGACCATTGGGTATTAATAGTATTCGTATGAATGATTGGTAATCACAAGGAAATCGAATTTAGAGTTAAATAGAAAAATAATACAAAGGATTGAATGAGAAAACCCATATACCTTAGGTTCCTCTCCGATAAGTTCAACCAAGATATGCATTTGTATTCCTTACTCTTAGTTCTTAGTTTTATAATTGATTTTATAAATTCTTGTTTTTAATTAATCTCGTATCTTTGAAGCTTAAACAATTGAATTAGGAAATTCTTAATAATTGGAAAATAATCCTTGTGGGACGATATTTCGAAAACTTAATTTAAGAACCCTGTATTACTTCTCGATAGGTACACTTGCTCTCCGAACACTTATATTGCTATTACTACTCATATAAAGTGTTGGAAACTCAAATCGTGCAAGGAAGGAAGGAACATAATAATAGAAGCAAGATACCCCAACAATAGAGAAACGAAAGAAACCCAACAAAATCAAGTAACCCAATTGCAACCATGAACCCTAACCCTAATGGTGGAAGAAGACTAGAGGCACAACATATATTTTGATATGTTTGATTCAATTTGGGCAAAAGAGATTTCAATGATAACGACACCGTTTCGCAATTATTTCTGCCACGCTAGCTTCCAAAATGATGTCGTTGTTGCCGACAGGAATTTTGACGTAATACTGAACGTGATAGCTTAGCCTTCTGTGACGGTCTCTTAACAAGGTTTAACGTCAAGGACTAAAATGCATAACGGGGAAGAAAGTTATGGACTAATGTAATATTTTAAATGTTTCAGAAACTAAAATGTTGGATTCAAACTCTCTCAGAGACTAAAATGCTAGTTTAGTTAATAAAATATTATAAAATAAATGACGTAGCAGTGCGGAGCTGGCTGCTCTTAATAAAATAGAGTTGACGACAGAGATTAAATATTAAATTTTTAACTTTATAGGAACTAAATTCGAACAAATTTTTTTATAGAGACTTATCAACAAATGATCTACATTTATAAGGATAAAAAACATAAACAAAATTAATAAAAAATTATTTACTCATATAAATAACAAATAAATGTTCTATTAACATAAATTCTATAATAAATAAGGATAAAAAAAATGTAATAATTGATATATTTAAAATTTAATATTTATTTTTTATGTTTTAAATAAAAAGAATAATAATAACAACAACTGCTTTATGTCATATTTAAAAGAAATACAAAATTGAAATGTATTACTATAGCTATTTTTTATATGGTTCTCCAATGAATATTTGAGTTTTATTTAAAAAATATGTAATAAAATTAAATACAAATTTTTATTTAAATAAAATTTTAAGTTTTTACACTACATTATGCGTATACTCTTTGGATCACCTTGTATATTTTTTCCTTTGATACTTTTTACATGCCATCTTTTATTATTATTATTTTTTATTTATCTGTTCTTTTAGAAGTTCAAGAAATGTTTGATTATCTTTGATCAATTATTTATTAATTTAAAATAAAGGAATAATCAAGTAATAAAAATAAAGAAGTCTAATAGAAAATTATATGATAATTTTAAGAAAAATAGGAACGTTAAATCTATTTTTTAATTTTATATAAAATATTAAAGTGATAAATAATAAATAATAAAATACTTATTATAAAAAAAAGGAAAATACTATATGTTTTTTAATTGATTCTGATTTCTATTTGAGATTTTTTAGCCTCTATTTGGTGCCTTAAAAATTGTTAATAAATTTCATTGATTGGTTATCAATTTGAGTTGAGAGCACGACTGTAACTTTCCTCTTAAACATTGTTATTGTAATTTGATTTTTTTTAATATATAAAAAATTAAATATTACAAAATTTAAATATTTTAATAGCATTAAATGTTATAATGTTAAATATTTTTTATGCTTTAAAGAATTTTATTAAATGATTATTACATTTCAATTATTTACTCGTGCACGGTTTTGTTTCCGGCATTTTTAAAGAGAAATTTTGTTTTAATTTCAAGGAGTTATTTTAAGAAAACATTCTTTAATTTTTTTAATTTTTACTTTAATTATAAAACTGTCTTCCTATTTTTATTTCATTTTCAAAATTTTAAAATTTATATAAAATTAGTGAAAATATTTTTTTATTTTTTTACTTCTTATATAAATATTTAATAGAAAAAACTTAAATACAGTTAAAGTGATAATTTTATAATTGAAAAAAACATATTTCCCAAAACTAAACAACATCTTTCTTTTGGGACAAGTTTTGTGTCTATTTATATCCATTTTTCTTGTCTATTTTGTATATCCACAAATATATATATATTTTTTAAAAAACTTGTTATAGTTTACAGGGTTTTGTGATGTTTGAAAACGCCTCATACTATTATTTTCATATTTTGTAACACAGACAGTATCTAAATCATTTTGTTTTCATTATTAGCTTTAGAATTGTAATTTAATTAATACTTACAAGAGAAACATCAAATTAATCCTCTAAAAATAAAAAAAAATGTTTTCAACTAAATCATTTAAAGATTTAAACTACTATATTTAATAATATTTCCTAAAATATATCATTACTTTCTTCTTGGACTAATTAAAAAAAACAAACAAAAAGATAAATAAAAGTGTCGTGTAGCACATCTTACTTTTTGGTCGGTAAAATTATATATAAAGTGGAGGTATTCTTCTGGTGTTATTATCATCACTCGTTTTCTTTGCCCCATCAAGACACTAAGAGAAAAATGGAAGCATTGTGGGGCGTAGGCTTAGTTATGACAATGATAATTGCTCTAATATGGGCATGGAAATTGTTAAACTGGTTATGGCTAAGGCCAAAGAGACTAGAGAGGCTTCTAAGAAAGCAGGGTTTTCAAGGCAATCCATACAAGCTTTTGTTTGGAGACACAAAAGAGTCTATGAAGTCGAGAAAGGAGGCCATGTCCAAACCTATGGATCTCTCTGATGACATAGTGCCACGTGTGTTTTCCTATATCCAACAAACTGTCAAAGAATATGGTATATGTTTGTGATTCCACTCTTCCTCATTTGCAACTTTCATCTATTTGCCTTTTTCTTTATAATTTGATCAGTTATGTTCATGCACTTTTCTTTGGTACACAATTTCTTTTTCTAGATAGTGACTCTGTTTTGCAGCCCCTTCTACAATATGCAGTGTTTGTTTAGTTTTTGTTGAAAATCGGTGTTAATTTATGTTGTCCAGCTTATATGTTCACTTTGCCAGGATTTTGAATGCCTTAGCAGTTTATATTCGTAATCATCTAGCTTATATATATGTTCTAACCTACAAATATAGAACATTTTATTATTTTTTAAGTTCAACTAGCTTTGATTTAGGCTTGTGCTCCTTTTTTTTTTTAATGTCACAAGTCTTGGTTTATTTTTCGCTCATTGAATATTTTATTTGACTTGACCCTATTCTTTTTGGGGCTTCATTTTTTTTATCAAGTTTTATTATGGCTTCATTTAATTCATTGCTAACTACTAATATAGAGCATGATACCGTGTTTGGATTCCTATGTTAGCCTTATAGCCTATAATATCTTCATTTGTTGACTGATTGCTTTGGCAATTTGTTGTTGGTCCATCAAATCATTGACAATCCCCAGTCCTTTAATGGAATTAGCGATCATACTTGCTTATTGAATCTCAACATTGTGTGAGAAAAATAACATACCCTTTATCGCCTATCTGTTTGCTGTAAGTACTTTGTTACTCAATGCAATAGGCTATTATGCTATATTGAACGTGCTTCTTTACAAAATTATTTCATTGAACAATACTATCCAGCACCATAATTCCCATAGTCATTTTTAAAATTGATATAAAACACTAGGATCTGTACCAAAAGTTTCCATCAATTGTAATTCATCTCAAATTAAAATAACACACGTACAAAGTTTCTCTGTTTCTTCAGTTCCTGATATATTTTTAATAGTTTTGCTTATAAAGCTGCTGATGGTATGCAGGGAAGAATTCTTTCATTTGGTCTGGACCAACACCAAAGGTGATCCTCTTGGATCCAGAGCTAATTAAAGACGTATTTAATAAGATGTATGACTTTCAAAAGCCTCAATCGAATCCACTTGCCAAGTTACTAGCTGCTGGTCTTGTAAGCTATGAGGGAGAAAAATGGAGCAAGCACAGAAGGATAATAAACCCTGCATTCAATTTAGAAAAATTGAAGGTTGATTGCTCTCTGCTAGATATGGATCTTATGTAATTGCCTTATGCACCATTTCAAAACGTCAAAAATACTGGGGAATTGGATTTTGGATCTGTATGTTTGATTTTATTGTCTTCTACTTTTGCATGGAAAAAAAAAAAACTCTTTAAAAAATGTGACATGTTTTGCATGCAAAATATACTTCTGCAAGCAACATAGGTTTGGTTTATTTTATAAGCAACATGCTCTGAAGTATGAATGCGTTTGTACTTAGTATGACATTGAGAGAACCTTAACTATTTGTTACTTCCTCATTACAATGCAGATTATGTTACCGATATTCTTCAAAAGTTGCAGCGATCTAATTACCAAATGGGAGGGAATGTTGTCTTCAGATGGATCGTGTGAAATGGATGTATGGCCTTTCCTTCAGAATTTTGCTGGCGATGCTATTGCCCGAGCAGCATTTGGAAGTAGTTATGAAGAAGGACAGAGAATATTTCAACTTCTAAATGAGCAAGTTGAACTTACAATGAATCTTACACTAAAAATTTACATACCTGGATCGAGGTAAGATTAATATGTAGCTATTTCATGATTAAAGCAAAATGAAGCTTATTAAATGAATTTTATTTATCTAAACTAACATCGTAGTATATTTACCAGAACCAACTATTAGCAAATAATAGTTATAAATGAAATATTAGTAACACTATATAATACATTCTTTTCAATATACTATTATTATTTAAATTTATTAAAATGTAAAAGTTGTAGATTATAGTTTAAATAATCTTACTTATAGTTTTATAATTTTTAATAAATTGTAGAGAAAAATGTGATGTCTCTCAAATAGAATGAAGAAAACTCATAGCAACATTTATCATTATGAATCTTTATTTGATATAATATTCTTTAAAATTAATTTATACGGATCAATTTTTCTTAAATGAAAATAGAATTGGACGTTCAACTTTTATACAAGCGGGAGAAAATTTGGATCTTGCTGATAAAGAACCAAATATATTTACCATCGATAGATCAACCACTAGAAATACAATTAAGTTTGAAAAAATAAATAATCCTCTTCATTCATTATATTAATGGGATGGAGCAACGTTTATTTGTAGGTTTCTACCTACTACTGTGAATAGGAGGGTGAAGAAAATTGACAGAGATATAAAAGCTTCGCTTATAAATATGATTAAAAAGAGAGAAAAAGCACTAAGAGCAGGTGAAACAACTAAAAACAACCTGTTAGATATACTTTTGGAGTCAAATGACAAGGAAATTCAAGAACACAGAAATAATAAGAACGTTGGATTGAAACTGGAAGAAGTAGTAGAGGAATGCAAGCTATTCTACTTTGCAGGGCAAGAAACAACTTCAGGTTTGCTTGCTTGGACAATGGTGTTATTAAGTAGGTACCCTGATTGGCAAGCACGTGCAAGGGAGGAGGTTTTACAAGTTTTTGGCAACAAAAAACCAGATTTTGATGGCCTAAATCACCTTAAGATTGTAAGTATTGCATTCTTATCTTTACAAAAACTCTAGTTTTATTTATAAGAAACAAATGTTAATTGTTTCTACAAAATAGTATGCCCCCTTAGTCCTTACCGTTATCATAAATATTTTCATAATAGGTCACAATGATTTTATACGAAGTTCTTAGATTATACCCACCTGCACCTGGGATTACTCGAACTGCTCAAAAAGATGTGAAACTTGGAAATGTAACATTACCTGCTGGAGTGGAAGTTTCCTTGCCAATAGTTTTGATTCACCATGACTATGAACTCTGGGGTGATGATGCTAACGTGTTCAATCCTGAGAGATTTTCTGAAGGAGTTTCAAAAGCAACAAATGGTAGAGTTTCATTTATCCCATTCTCATGGGGTCCTAGAATATGCATTGGACAAAACTTCTCCATGTTGGAAGCAAAGATGGCGTTGTCCATGGTTTTACAACATTTCTCATTTGAACTTTCTCCAGCATATACTCATGCTCCAGCTATGATACTTTCTCTCAAGCCACAATTCGGTGCTCATATCATTTTACGTAAAGTGCAAAAATAAAATAATAATCTCTTATATTGTATTTTGCACAACTACGACATAATGTAATGTTAAGATCACAGCTTAGAGACTATCATTTGAATTCATTTACATATTTATGTGTGTTAATCTCTTTCAATGAGTTGTTATCTTGTTAACAAGGAGAGAAAGAAAAAAAAAAGTTTAATTTCATTCTAAAGTATACAGCAAAACAAAGTATTTTAAAAATTGTTGCTTTAAGTTTGAGATTTCAGTTGTTCAAACCACATTTATTTTTATCTTTGAGGAATATTAGCAACAAATCCTTTAACATAATTTCTTTAATATATTTTTTATTATCAGTTAAAAGTTATTGAAAATTATAAAAATATAAAAAAAGGAACATTAATTTAAAAGTGAAACTCATATTATTTTTATAATTTTAAATAAATTTAGTTAATAATAAAAAGTGTGTTGCTAGCAACTTTTTTTTTAACTTTTTTCGGTGAGCTTTACTCTAAAATAGTTACTTCAAGTATTGATTCAACAAATAAAATCTTATGTTCAAACATAACAATTTATCGCTGAAATATCTTCAAAGAGCAATCCAACGATTTTCTTAGAGTAAATAAAATGAACTCTAAAATTAGGTTTTTAAATGTAACAAATTAAATTATTAAAATTATCGTGATTTTATTGATAGTTTTTCAAATATCTTGAGATACGACATTATATATTATATTTTTGAAATCATTTCCATTTTTAACATATTTTTTCATTAATGATTAAGTTAATGTATTTCAGCTTTTTTTCAACGTTGTTGATTTTAGTTGCTCCTCCTATTTCCATTTATTCGTCATTTAAAACAAGGTAAATTCTACGTACCTTTTCAATTGAAGGAACTTCGGTGGAATTTTTTATTTTTTAATATTTTTTTAAAATTATTAAAATAATTTTTTTTTTGTTTTAGGTCTTTTTACCATATCAATACCTATTTTGTTTTATCCAAGGGATGAAACTTATTTTTTTAAAATTTTTAATTAAATTTTGTCTATAGAAGATATGAAAGTACAAAACATATGTCACAATCTTATTGAATTTTGTTTGTACAAAAAATAAATCTAAGTTTGAAGGACAGGGGATGACTTGGACACATGACACTGATAAATCTATATTTTGACATGCTTTTATACATTATATACTTATGTGTGACTATTATTTTAATAAGATTTTGTACTAGTTGTCCATATTAATTATGTAGTTTAACATAAAAAAATTACAATTAGATTGAGTATATTTTGAATCTAAATTGGATGAAAAATAAGGTTTTAACCAGTACATTCATCCCCTAGTAGCCAGCACGAGAGTGTTTTGAACTACATGCACAGTTGTACTTATGGCTTTGCATAGTCGTGCTTACCAACGAAAAGTTTATCTATAAAAAAATATTAGGTTTTTGAGACCATATAAAAGGAACCTCAAAGGTAGCAATTAGGAATCATCTTTGACATCCTAAAATCGTGATTTTGATGTACCTTTGACAACACTTGGAGTCAATGAGAGTGAGATCATTGACGAAGAAAATAAAGTCTTCTTTAGAGCCAAGCAAGTAATTAAGAACGTGTTTGAAGAATGAGAACTCTTTCCATTCCCTTCTTTTGGAAGATTCCTTTAATTTGTTTTCTACTTTTATATCCATGGATTTGTTTGTAACTATTTTAATTGTTTATGTTATGATGAGTAACTAAATCTATAGTTACATCTATGGTGAACCATTTATATTTTATTAATGGAGGAATGTAAACATAATAACACAAACACAATAGAAGAGTAATAGGAGGTAGAAAAATATTCTCTCAAACTTGTAAGAATTAGTGAGGAGCACTAATAGAAATAGAGCAAAAATAGAACCACAAAATATTAGAGGAATCAAACAATTATTAACATGGAAAAACCTTTTAAGGTAAGGGTAAAACACCATGAGTCGTCCAGTCAAAAGAAATAATCTATTACCAATAAAGGGTATAAGAAGGTCTCTAATGAGTGCATAAACTGTGCTTACAAACAACCAAAATAAATAAAGCACCATTACTCTCAAACAACAAACAAGAAGATGAAAAATCCAATTGTAGAGTATGAAATTGTGATATTTATTTCTCCCTTTCCAAACATTTTTTCAATGATCCAACCAGACAAAATAAAGATTCACATCTTATGAACCTTTTACCAAAAAAGTAGCCTGATCTAATGGTGAAAGAAGCCCTAGTTCTAATTCAAAAAATACCACTTTGGTGATATACGAAAATAGCAAAGGGTTTTCTTTCTCTCTTCTCTCTCAATGTTTTGCCATAAAGAGCCTCTTTTTTCTCATACCCTAACTGACCCTTTGCCACTAATTTTAATGACACACAATGGGCCAACATATTTAAACTTTTCTCCACATAGGAAAAGAGCCCAAAGACCTAACAATTCTTCTCCCTCACAACTATGTGGAGATAATCGCCAAACCAACAATCTCACAACAAACTTTAAACTTTTCTCTTGGTAGCACCTTAGTCATTATATTAGCATCATTATCATTTATATGAACTTTGACTAACTCTAAGAACTTAGCATCTAAAGCATCTCATATACAATGATACCACATCAGTATGTTTAGACCTAGAATGAAAGTTAGATTCTTACCAAGATGAATAACACTTTAATTATCCACAAATAGTAGATACATTTCTTGAACAAAACCAAGCTCCTTTAACAATTTCTTCACCCATAGCAACTTCTTGCAAGCTTCAGTCATGACAATAAATTCTACCTCTATAGTTGACAAAGCTACACACTTTTGCAACTTAGACTACCAAGCTATTGCATACATCAAACTACGTAGAGCAAATGCATAAGGAATTCGTTGCATATCTAATTTCTTAGCTTCATTTCATGTACTCTATTTAGAACTCAATTTAAAATGAGCTGCAAGAGGAGTGCTTACCCTTTTTGCTTTTTCCATCTGAAATCTCTACAATACCTTTTCAATGTAGTGTTCTTGTGATAGCCACAACTTCTTTTTTCTCTCACGTAAGATTCTTATACCAAGAATTTATTTAGTAGCTCCTAAGTCCTTCATGACAAATGACTCGCCTAACTGCTTCTTTAACCTATTAATTTTAGAAATATTTTTTCAACAATAAGCATGTCATCAACATATAATAATAGGATAATAAAGTCATCATTAGAAAACTCCCTGACAAAGACACAAGGTCAAAAGCAGTCTTTTATAGTTTTATTTACACATAACACACTCAAACTTCTTGTACCATTGCATTGGAGACTGCTTTAAACCACATAAACTTTTTTATCAACCTACACACATAGTCTTTCTTGCCTTCAGAAAATTAAAATTATTGTTTGTCCTCAAGCAAATTTTTTTTCTTTATGAACAAATGGCTGTAATAAAAAACTTAACATAACTTCTTCTATCCATTCTTGCAGCAATAACTCATACTATTCATAGGTAACTTGACCATTACTTTACACCATGCATGAATTAAACTCCATTTCCAAGATGAATGTTTCACTCTAATGCTCAAGTGTATAAGTTTGTGTTTGCCCTTTCGATTACTTTTGCTAAACTCCTTACCATAGGCTTGGCAATGTTCTAATTCATAGCTATCTATGTAGTAATGTCATAAATCAAGAGGAATTTGCATGGGTTGTAATGGGGTTAAAGCTCAGGTAGGAAGACATTTTGGATTTTGGCTATTTCCTAAGTCAAAGAGGATATGAAGGATGAGTTAAAAAGCTTAAGATTTGGGTTAATTGCTTGACATTTTTTTTTAATTGTACTTGTCTATTTTATTATAGTAGTGGAGTATCATATTCCTTTTTAGTTAGCTATAACTTCAATTTCCCTTCTATTTTTTTTTTCCAGAAGACTAGATTGACATTATTTCTATACATTAGTAACAATTGACCATCCTAAACTTAAGAATTGTGCTTGTCTCCAAACAATTTTGCTAACCCCAAACTTAAGAGTTCTTAAGAGTTTTAACTCATCCAAATTGGTACTCATTTTCTCAAAGTCACATAGAAGGACAATTTGGTTTTTCAGCTTTAGGTTAGGGGTTATATTGGGAATAGAAACATGAGAGTCATGCTCAAAAGTGTTGAATAATGGATTAATTAAAAGGTAAGATGATTTTGGCTCATGTGGGAATGTGATGAAAATATTGCCTCAATCATATTAATGATAGTAAAACATGGCAGCATGGCAAGAACAAAGACAAGTTCTAAAATGAATAAAGCAAGGTAATTCTACACACAACAAGGAAAATTAGTTCAAATGCTAACAATGTAAAGTATTGTGGAGTTCAAACATGCATGGTTGGTAGTATTTCAGTCAAAAACTACCTATGAATTATTAAAAGTATTGATGATATGCAATAAAAGTATTGGGTTGTAGATACTTGAACAATTAAAATTATAGCAACAGGAATTCTATACATGAAAAATAGATGGAATGGTGAAAAGTAGAAAGGGACTTCCATGTATTAGAGCAGCTAGAGACGTGGAATTTGCCTGTTGCTTAAACCAGGATGACCCTCAACACACTAAATAACAAATTTTTTTTTGTGGCCTGCAAAATATCAGCACCGTAAAAAGATATTCGAGAAATGTAGAATATTCAATTATAGACAAACTTAAATGTTCATAGGTACCCATGTACATGCAAAAAGGAAATTGTTCTTAAACACAAAGCATTAAAAACTGAAATTAGACACAAACCCATTAAAAACTGAAATTAAACATAAAATAAAGTAATGGAAAACAAAAAAGTGGTGTGCTAAAAAGATGATATCAATGATCCTTGTCTGCCTCTTCTTTCTCAACAACAGTTGGGGTCAGTTTTAGCAATCATAAGCTGCAGTAGCTCACTACAAGATGCTCCCTCTTAATCATTGTCATGCACTAGCATATCCTTCGCAATTTGGTTTGGTTTGGCTTCCAAGCAAACAATGCCTTTCATCAATAACTGTGCTTGCCTGAAAATGGTCTTTTGCAGTTAGGGGATGGTGCTCCGCACCATGCTCAATTGTTGTTTGCTAGTCAAGTTTGAGGAAAAGGATAGGATGGTTATTACAGCTACTACAGTGGCCTGTCAGGTCTTCTATGCACACTTTTAACAAAGGCATCAATTGCAACAATAATTATCCATTTTGGT